TTTAAATACAGTATTTACTTTTAATATTACCGATATGTCATCGAAAAGAAAACGTGTTGTATTATCATTAAAAGACAAATTAAAGTATTTGTTTCGATTATCCGGATTTTTCCTTATCCGGACTACCTTCATCCCCAATTAGTCCGGATAATCGAGGTTCTACTGTATATACATTTATCTGAAGAGGGACCATGCATTTTGGCTTGGGTATACATCTAAACAAATATAAATTGATATATTAATATTAACTAAGCTGTTAATGTATGATATGTCTATTATATGAAAATTATTATTGATTACAATTAAAATTTAAGAAAATTGAATAAAATTAGTAGTAATTAAATGTACTAAAAGCAATGTTAAAAAAAAAATTTGTAGCTTACTTAAGAAGGATCTGATATATTAACAATACAGTATATATGATTACATTTTGCTATATCCTTCTGTAAATATTCAAGCAGGGATATCTATCATGAGATAAGGAATGAGCTAGAAAAATGATGGAATATAAGTATATTTTGGAAATGTCAGATTTAATGCTAAATAATTTTTATTCCATGTGGAACAAAGTGTTATAGGCAATTTTTAGGAGTTCCAATGAAGTCTTCTTCTGCTAGAGAAATATAGCAGACAAGATAGTTAACACTTAGAAGGAACAGTAGTAGCAAAATATAAAGATAAAATTAAATACATAGTAAGGTATATTGATGATCTATTCATAATATGGAACGATGAGGAATGTGTTCAGGAGTTTGTTGAACAAATTAATGATAAAACCAGCATAATCTTAAAATTAGAAGATATAAATTATTTAGACATTACTATTTTCTAAGCAGAAAATTTGTATGCATATAAATCCAATGTATGATGGAATACTAGTCTTACAATGGATTACATGCATTGGAAATCAAATGATTAGGACAAGAATAAATTACCAGCTAACAGAAGTTTAGTAAGTTGAGAATTTGCCCATTCTACATTCTCAGCAGATAGAACAAGGGAAATAAATAGAATTATTGAACTAGCAAAACTACATAGTTTCCCAAAGAGAGTAATAGAAGCTGAAAACATCCCCAAATAAAGCATTTATAAGTTTGGTTTCCTAAATAAGCAGTGCTAAAAAGCTGAGTTAAAAACTAAAGAACAATATTTGTGTATTGTCCCATATAACTTTGTTGATCAAAACATGGCCTTGGAAACAAGGAACATTCCTTGTTTTCAAGGCTGAATTAGCTCCAATTGCAACCAGTGCCACCTTCTGGGATCACTGATTTGACATTGAATTATAGTTTAAAGCTTCTTGCATAATGTATGATGTCCTTTTTTTATATCCCCATTTTTATAATCTATCAGTGGTGTGCTATGACATTTTATGATAGGGAAGCTGTGTTTCCTTAAAAATTATAAACAAATGCTAGAAATGACCAAAATAAACAGTTTATTTATTTTAATTCTAAAATACATAATTGACACGAAACAAAGATATAAAAACTTGTTTTTGTTATTTTTTATAAACTAACTCTACTCGGCAATTTTTTCCACAAAGTTGTTAATTATTTTATTATAAAAATCACTTTTCATTGATTCCATCAAAGTATTTTAAAAGTTCTTTTTCTATTGAAAAGAATGCTAGTGACGGCAATCTTTCCTCCGACTGAGTCTTCCTTGTGAATGTATCAATTCGCTTCATGGTTGAAAAACTATGCTCAATAGACACACTTGTAGATGG